GTTCACATGGTTTCATTGCCGGGCTGTTGCAGACGAAGGTGATATAATTATTATCATGTTACTAGCTATATAGTAAACTGGATATTTTTGCTGGAATAGCATTCAAGGCTTTTAGATGAACTATATTTTCGGTTCATTTTTGGTAATGCTTAAAATTGTTACCAAAACACACATTAACTGTTCATCACAATACAGCAGAGTCCTATCATGAGATGGTTAACAACTTTATGGAGAGAGCATTGATATAGATAATGTTTCTGAGAATAACAGAAAAATATAAGAGGAGGAAGAAAGAAAAGGAAAAGAGGAGTAGAGGAGTATGAGTGAAAATTTTGATTATCCATACATTTGATTCAAAGTTGCATGTTCTTGAAAAGTGCTACAACTGTTTCGTTCCGACAAAGAGACAATAAGTTTGAAAGAAATCAACTTCTACTGAAAAGGAGCATCTTATGAACACTCATAATGTTGAAGAATCCATGACGATAAATCTGTTTCATCGATCCCTTTGCTGAATTTTCTTATTGTTATTGTTCTCATAAAGAGTATAAGAAATATCTTTTCGTGAAAGCTAGCCAGCTCTAACTGGTTTATTTTCGGAAGTCACGTATGATGTTAGATTTTGTCAGTTTACAAATGCAAGATAGCAGAGAAAAACAGGCTTGGTATAACGTAATGGAGGTAATTCTCTAAAGAAACTGTGGTGCTGCGTCGGTGAGAGAGTGTAACAGGGTAATTTAGTGTTATCAACTGAGTTGAAAACGTAAATTGGCCACCGTTAAGAGTTTAAAGACTGCCGTTTCGAGCGTCAGCCCTTCTTCAGAGCGATGGACAAGGGGCGCTGAAAAAGAGCTAACGCTCGAAACGTCAGCCTCTAAACTCTTTACGGTGGCCAATTTACGTTTTGAAATCAATCAATAACACTAAACTACCTTGGTGTAATATAATTCGACTGTTTTAGATACTTTGATAAGATATCGAAATTTAAACAGCTAAAAACTATGTGAAGGAGATAAAAAATTAATATACTTCTTACTGATCAATAATTCAAAGTTTTCGGTGAGGCTTCCTGTATGTGCAAGACGAATTTCAGTCTTAATATATATAACTATACAACAGGTTAGCAATTGATATGTGATCTAATAAAAAGCCCTTAGAATTTTAACATATCGTTTTACGCTTATGCAAGTTCTTTAGAGTTTGTTAT